CCCCACGGGAGGCCTGAGACTGGGGTGCTCACACATCTGAGAAAAGTCAAGGAACCTGAGATAGTGTATTGTGCCAGCCTGGCAGATAAACACAAGTGGGATTAACTGAAGGGCAGAGAGATAAATGGCTTGGTGAGTCTTGCCTTTCTTGTCTCTCGCTCTTTGATCATCGGACCAGTGTGCGGCTGCCTTGCTTGTTCTGTGCCTCAATTTAACGGCTACACTACCTGTGGGACGCCTAGCCTGTGGACTGTGTCACTGTAAGTTGAGGTCCCTTTAAGAGATCGCTGGAGCTGGGGACTGGCAGTTGGTGACCTGGCTGGCAGTTGGTGACCTGCCTTCTGATTGGCTGCTGTGCTGACATAGCCTAGCTCTCTCTATAAATAGAGGAAGATCTGGCAGCAGACTGGACTGGAAGGACTGCTAGTCTCTCACAACTCTCTCACGGCAGTGAGTTGCATTGAGCCATTTGTAGTGCTTTATAATTTAACTGTTTCTTTCTTGTATTATATATTTATCTGTATATGGTTTAACAGTCAGTTCATTTCTTGTTATTTATCTAATGATCTTTATAAATAAATATATTAAATTATCAGCAATTTGGTTTTCTCTCTCTAGAGAACCCTGTCTAACACAGATGCCTTACTAGATTTTGCTAACACAGAGCCCAAAGCTTATTGGAGGTTCTGAGTGGGTCAAGGGAGGTTCTGACTCCAGGGGGCCCGACTGGGTTCATGGAGGGATTTCAGAGGATGGGAATTCCCCCCCACACACACACTTTTTGACACCGGCCCCCTCAGGTATTCATGATGGAGGTGGGAGGTGTTCGGGGAAAGGATCGTGAGAATGGTTGCCCTACTTCAAGACCCCACGCCTGGGCACCTGCCCATCACAGGGACAGGGAACGCCTGGTTGCCGTTCTTTTCCACATGCGGAAAACTCTTTAAAGGCCTTGCCTGGTATGCACGTGAAAGCTGGACATGAAATAAGGAAGCAGCAGAATCGAAGCATTTGAACGACGGTATTGTCGAAGGACATTGCAAGTGTCGTGGGCTGCCCAGCGCAGACCGGTCCGTCTTGGGAGAAGTACAGCCAGCGTGCTCCTCAGACACAAGGACAGCGAGGCTCTCTGTCACGTTTTTGGACATATGGTCAGGAGAGCCGGTCCCTGGAGAAAGACATCATGCTCGGTAGAGCGGAGGGGCAGCGAACAAGAGGAAGGCCTTCGATAAGATGGTGGACACAGGGGCTGCAGCCGTGAGGACGGCGCAGGTCCAGGCAGTGTTTCGTCCTGTGTGCGTGGGGTCATGGTGGGTCAGAGCGGCCTCGATGGCACCTGGCAACCGCAGCAAAGGCACTGGGAAGCGTGAGGCACCTGTGGTTTGGCCTCTAGTGGGAAGAGCCTCCCAGGGCACAGTGGCCGGAGCACCAGCCTGGAGCTGACCGGCGGTGGGACAGCAACAGGCCTGATGGCGGCTCATTCTGCTGTGGCTGGGCTCACCCTGATGACAACCGAGGCCGATGACAGATGAGGACCAGGTCCCTGGACTACCAAGTGGGGGAGCTGGCCTCTTCCTAAGCCAGAGTCTGCACAGGAGACCTTAGTGGACGAGGCGCGTGGGTCTCGGATCCTGTGACCCGGGTCCAGAAAGGAAACTGGGGCCCTGGCTGGCCGCGTTCTCTCAGGAGCAGAGCCTCACTTCCTTGAAGATGCCTGTTTACTGCGGAACAATTGCTACATCTCATCTTGGGTCTGTTTCTGGCTCCTGGAGTGGAAACTGTCTGAACATCAAAAGACAATAGGCACTGCAGACCACTGTGGCAAAAGTCCTGTTAACTTTCCAGCTAACATGGGAAAGTTATTGTTTATTGACGGAACTAGTGTTTCGCCCAAGGAGCTCCTAGTGGACTGTGTGCTGGGCTGCAAATGGCAAGGGCGGCAGTTCTGGACCAGCAGCTTCTACGAGGGCAACAGATGAGGCTTTCTGCTTCTGTAGAGATTCGCTGCTGTGGAAACCAGCAGAGGCAGTTCTACTCCACTCTACACAGCGGCTGTGGGTCAGAATGTGCTCGAGGACAGTGTTGCTCCCTTAGCTAGCAAACTGGCTACCGGGCAAGACGTTGTGACGGACAATGTGGCCCACAGGACGTATGTGGCTCCCGGGTGGCCCACATGGTTTGCACTTGGTACGATCTGAAGGTCACCGGCTTCAACACACGCAGCGGTGCTTTGGAAGCAAGATCTGGCTATCGGTTCCTGTAAGGCCACAGCCAAGAGGACCCTACGGAGTGGTGGCTGCTCTGAAACCTGTGGGGTTGTCACCAGGCAAAACCAACTCAGTAAGACGTCGGCACCGAGGGCTTCTGTGGCGGAAATACCAGCAGGGCAGCTTCCACAAGCAGAAATGTATCCCCTCAGCATCTGGAGGACAGAAGTCCGGATCCAGGGTGCCAGCGCAGGGGAAGGCTGGCTCTCTGTGGGCTCGGAAGGGCCTGGCCTCCTTTCAACGTCTGTAAACCTGACATGCCTCGGAGGCCATGTTTGGTGTCAAGCATCCCCTGGGTCTAGGACAGTGGTTCTCAACCTGTGGGTCGTGACCCCTTTGGTGGGTCAAACGACCCTTCCACAGGGGTCGCCCAATTTATCACGGCAGCACAATTACAGTGATGAAGTGGCAATGAAAATAACGATGGTTGGGGGTCACCGCATGGGGAACCGTGTGAAAGGACCACGGCACGAGGAAGGTTGAGAGCCGCTGCTCTAGGAGGTTCTTAGCCAGGAGCCCCGGGTCAAAGGGCACACTCTACCACTGGCTATTCTCTGCTGCTGACAGACGGTCCCTGGGCTCCCTCTCCTTCTAGCTCTCGTACAAGGGGGCTACCGTTCACAGCCCAGGCAGGCTCCCCTGATGGGGGTCAGGGCTGCAACCTGATTCAAGGGCTGCATCCCACCCTAATCCCCCTCATGACTGGTGAGCAGCTCCCATCATGGGGATGTAACCAATTAGCGGTCACATTGTGGGGGACATCATCATCACATGGCCACATCACATCACCCAACCACCTGGTCACCGAGAACCATGGCCAGGCAAGGCGACACATTCTGTGTGTGTGTGTGGGGGGGGGGGGGGGGGGGGGGGGGGGGCGGTGTTGGGAGGACACGACACAACCCATCTGCGGCAACGGCCGTGTACGTGTGCATGTGCAGTGTGTGTGTTCCAGCCACACTCCTCAGATGTTCAGGTCCAGAGGCCATGGCTAATGGGCTGGCCCCGTCTCCTTGGGGTGCAGGAATGCAATTGGGGTTGCAGAGAGCCCGTGCAGCACACCGGCCAGAGTAAACCCAAGGTCCTTGCCAGAGTGCACGCAGCTGTGTGGCCCCCCGTGGGCCCCCCCAAATCACGTCACTTCTTTGGAATAAAAGTGCAGCATGATAAGAATCCCATTTCCGTTTGCACACTTCCTGTGTGTTCTTCCAGCAACAGCCCATGATACAATTTGTACGGCTCCTACGAGCTTTTATTGGGGAAAACCTTGGCGGCGGGGGGAGAGGAGCATGTTTCAAAGGAAGCAGATCTGATAAGGGGGCCGAAATATTTACTGCATTATTTCGAGAGTCAGGCCCTTTGTTCCCCAGAAGTTTCCTGTGCGGCTTTAAAAATAGCTTTCTGCACTGTTCCAGGACAGGAATGCCCTTTCCAGCAGCGCTGGCTTGGAACGCGCCAGCTTTATTTACTGCAGGGCCACTGAGACTTGGTCACCTGCTCCCAGAATCGAGGGCCGCTTGGCCCTCGGTTCCCACCTAGGGGCCGTGGTGCGATGGTGAGGAGCTCAGGACTGGCTAGCAGTCGAACCTGCCCAGAGGCTACGTGGAAGGCAGGGCTGGCGGTCTGCTTCCATCAGGATGACAGCTTAGAACACTGTCACCTGGGGCCGCCAAGAGTCAGAATGGGTACTCTACAATCCCATGAGCTCCCATCTGAGAAGACAGGTGACAAATGGGTGGATGACATGGGAGCAGGGTGGGCAGTCCACAGGGACCCACCCAGCTGCCATGGATGGGAGCCAGGGCACATCACTGCTCCAGGGGAGAAAGTTGCTAACCACAGGAGAAACAACCCCGGGCCTTGCACTGTCGGAAAACAGCAGTTGGTGTGGGTGAGGGGCTGAGGGGACCCTGTTGGGCAGACAGAGCCCGCTGTGCGGCTTCCAAGAGTTTGTGGGAAAATGGTACTAGAAGATAACAGAGTCTTCGCCCAGACTTTTGGAGCCCCTGGTATTTGGGTTAACTCGGCAAGAGCTCAGCAGAGGAGGCGGCCGAGAGGCAGCCAGGAGGTAGCATCTGTCCGGGCATGGGGCAGGTGGGTGTGGAGGGTCTCAGCACGTCTGCTGAGGCACCTTGGGACCTTCTCAGGGGAAGCTGCATGCCCTCCCCAGCCCCCCAGGTCCAAAAACTGTGGGACTAGGGTGGTAGACTGCAGGGGGGCCCTGCTTGCATGTGTGAGGTGGCGCAGCGGGGGATGCTGGGGACACAACATGACTGCCCTGCAGACAGGGCCGCGGACCTCATCCACACTCACTGCTGCTGCTGGCATTCCAGAAAAGGATTCCACCCTGTGCTGCACCCAGGGGGGCCAAGCAGGTGCCCAGAAACTTCCCACACAGGCTTGTTCAGGGGCCCACTGCCACCTCCCTCAATGCCACTTGCGCCCCCACAGTGTAAGGCACTGGCCGAGGGAGGAACTGTAAGCCTCACGTTTGTATTAAAATATTTTATATTACTCATTCAAACGTAATCTGTACAGTAAATGCATATAGCGTCCGGCCAAGGGTGCTCCTTGCACTCGGTCGTCAGTCTGCCAGGCTCTTGGGGGGGCCTCGGGCGCATCACCTCACTGTCCTGGGGCGGGTGAGGTGTAAGGAGAGGCTGCTGTCCCCAGCACTAGGTTCAGATGTTCAAGGGGGAACAGGGGGGAGGGGCTGCTGCTGGGGGGGCGGGAGGGGGGGCGGGAGCAGCTCACGGCGGAGCAGGTCCGTGCCCTGTACAGGGGCTCCTCTGGGGAATGGGGATGCCTGGCCTCTCCCGGCCCAGTGCCTGCAGGCCCCTTAGCAGGGGGATGCGAGATGAAAGGGGTGAGTCCCATGTCCGAGGCGGTGGGCCTCCGACGTGCACGTCCACCTGGTGCCTGCCTCTGCAAGCCCACCTGCCCACCCTGCGCCAGCCTAGACGGCCGGCATGTCGGCCTTGCTGAGGGCGATGGCCAGCTCCAGGTCCTCCTGCTCCTGCCGCCGCAGCCGCGCCAGCCGCTCCTGCTCGGCCTTCTCGCTCTCCCGCTTGGCCCAGGCCAGCTGCTGCTCCTCATTGCCAAACTGCAAGGGAAACACGAAGCTCCGTTATTCGGCCTGGCCTGGAGCCGCCGCGGCCGCGGCCCAGGGGCCAGGCTGTTGGAGGAAGGGCCAGGGTGCGCAGACCCTGGAGGGTCAGGGCACAGGAGGAACCCCGGAAGGACTGGCGGACAGGCCAGGTCCACAGAAGGTCAGGGCACAAGTGGGGCCTGCAGCGGGCTGGGAGTAGGCCAAGGACCCGCCGAGGGCTGGGGTGGGGGTTCAGGGCGGGCGGAAGGGGAGCTTGGGGTCCGAGCGGCAGGGCCCGGTGTGATCCTAAGCTCAGGGCCCCAGAGAGTTGAGTAGCCGCTCTCGGCAGAGGCCTTGGGAGACGATGTGTGGGTTCAGGAAACAGAGAATGCCTGGCAATTCCCAAGAGCCTGTCTGGCGAGATCAATACAGCAGCGGGGGTCAGCCAACTCTCCAGAGGCCAGATGGCGGAGCCACACACTCAGGGCGCGCAAGCCGGCCGGAAACGCTGGGAAGGTCCTCGGGCTCAGCTGAGCGCCAGCATGTGCACAGCACCCCAGAGCGGAGGAGCACGGGGCAGCCAGGCCCTGAGGCCAAGGCGTGAGGCCCAGCCCACTGGGGGTGCTCCGGGGCCCTGGACAGTCAGTCACACTGTCAGCTGCTCACGACACTGTCACTGGGTCCAGGGGATTTTCTCCTTGGGGGTGGGGGCTTCTCTAAAATGAAAATGTTTGACTTAGAAGAACTTTGTAAAGCCGACACGATGCCTGTGGACCCTCCTCAAATGGCCCGTTGCCCCAAATGGCTGTCGGCCCACTGCTGAGTGTGGAAGGGAGGGGCTGCGAACTCCAGCCCACCCTCTGCTATGCAGGGCAATGATCCCACACACGACCCCACACACGGCAGGAATGGGCTTTCAAACGTCCACGGACTCCCTCGGGCTCCTGTGCTGGCCAGGAGGTGGTCACCGACATTGTGTCCTCCAGCTGTAAACGTGGGGACACAGAGGGACCCGAGCAGAGGGGATGGCTCGCCGAACCAGAGGTGGTGTTTCACTAAGACTAGACTGGGGGAAGAGACCGAGGACCATGGTGAGGTAGGGGTGAGGGCGGCTGATCGAGAGCTGGACTTCGGGGACAGCAGCCAGAGGGGCTGCCTTGGGGAGCGGGAGGTGGGAGGGGGTTGGGTGGGGGTAGAATGGAGAGTGGTGTGGGGCACGTGGGGAAGGGTGGAAGAGCAGAGTGGGGAGGGGCGTCCAGGCTGCCCCCTCCGTCTGGTCTAGGTGTCTAAGGGTGAGGATAGCAGTCAGTGTGCAGACAACAAAGTGTGCCTTAGGAAGGTGACAGCTGTTTCCAAAGTGGCACCCGGGCACAGCTAAGGGCGCCGTTCCGTTCCAGCACCTCACTGGGAGGGAAACAGGGAAAAAACAACATGAGCAGCTGCTGGGAGGACCCCACAGGACAGCTGCCAGTGTCCCTGTCAATGGAGTGAGCCTGCCCTCCCCCTCCCCCTGAAATTGAGCCCGCAGCGCCCCAACCTGCTTCCCTGCCGGCCGGGCCGCCCAACGCATGCAGGCCCCCAGGTCTGTGCGCACACGGAGGGGGAGGACTCAGGGACAGGTTTTCCACCCTCTCACTACAGTGTAAATTCGGAGCTGACCCTCCCCCAGCTGTGGAGGCAGGTGGCAGCCAATTCTGGTGCTCAGGCCAGCCTGGCTTGACCCCCACCCCCCCAAGGGCGGAGCAGGCTTTAGAGCCACCTCTGCCGCCTGCCCTGCTGAGGTGCCACCAGCCACACTCTGGCAGGTGCTCAGAGGACAGTCACCTCCGTGTGTGTGTGTGTGTGTGTGTGTGTGTGTGGTGTGTGTGTGTGTGTGTGTGTGTGTGTGTGTGTGTGTGTGTATGTGTGTGTGTGTGTGTGTGTGTGTGTGGCGGTGTCCCGGTTCACAGTGTCACCCCAGAGATGGTGCAGTGGCCTCTCGGCCACATCCAGCAAGCTCACTGATCCTAACGAGAACCGTGCCCAACTCCTGAGGACCGGCCTTGGGAACAGGCGCGCTGGCCCTAAGTCCATAATGGCACTTGGACTGGCTCGTCCCGGGTCCCAGGCAGCAGGGCCCGGCCAGCACAGGGGCCGTGAGTAGCAGCTTTAGGGCCGAGAAGGAGGCGTCTTGCACGTGGTTGAGGCCTGGGGCCCTGGGGGCCCCCTGGCTGTGGGTGGGGAGCTGGCAGCACAGACTGGAGCGGCCCGAGTACCCGGGCCCAAGGAACCAACTTTGGCCTCGCCAAGGCGGTACAAATCACCTAGGTCCAGGCCAGCGAGAAGTGCTGTGTACCGGAGAGCGGTCGGCCTTCCCTGGGGGTGCAGTTCACGTGACCCCCAGCTAACAGGGGTCCATCTAGAAGCACGTCGGAAGAAAGGTGCAAGGAGGCGCAGCCCTCTGGCACACGCTGGATCACAGGGTGGGAGCTGATGGTCGGGGCCATGTCCCTAGGCAGCGAGTGCACTGTGAACACACTGGATGCTGACCAAGGATCGGCAGTTCCAGGCACCCAAAGGGGCCTTAGCCGTTGGAAGCCCTACAGAGTCTGGTTATACTGACACACAGCACTGCCCTGAGCTGGGGTCCACTAGGGGGCTGCTGATTAAAACTGAGGGAGACCTTGCGCCATCTCAACCCCCACTCTCACTACCCACCCCCTTTCCTTGAGGAGAACCAGGTGTCCAGAGCAGGGACGGCGACTCCAGACAGTAAAAGGTAGGTGGGCTGCCATGTCGGCACCCCACCCCAGGAGGAGGGCAGGAGCGAACCCCCGTGGCACACAGGGTTAAGCACGGGGCTGCTAACTCCAGGGAGGAAGACCGGCTGTCCGGCTGCTCCTGGGAGAAGCAGCTGTCTCGGGAACCCCAAGGGGCAGTTCTGCCCTGTCCTTTTGGGTCACTTGGAGTCGCCAGCACTGGGGTAGGAGGGGGTGGGCGAGGGGGCCTTCACAGCTGGGGGGCGGTGTGCTCACATGGAGGGGCACAGCTGCTCAGGGTAGGCCACCCAGAGGAGGGGAGCCCAAGTGAAAACTGGGGCTAAATGTTTTCTGAAAACAAGCTGCCTGGGGGGGTGTCACCAGAACCAATCACTTCCCACTGCCAGGGTTCGATGCCACGCGCTCCTCCCGCCCGCTCCTCCCCTGCACAGTGCCCACGGAGGAGGGCGGCTTTTCCCACCCCGACAGATACCAAGCACACCAGTCACCAAACTCTAGACCCGCCGGGCTTCTCTTAGCAAGGTCACTCGCTGCTTTGTTCGTTCTCAGGGACCCCACTGCTGATGCACTCTCCAGCTGTGAAATACTGGCACCAGATCGGTCAGGAGCGGCTGGGATTTGGGTGGGGGGAGCAGGAAGCCAGCAGGTAGCTGTGTGTGGCTAAGGAGCTGCAAGGAATCGGGCACTGACTTCCCACGGGAGCGCCTGAGCGGGACACAAATGCTGCAGGAGACTGTGGAGCTGGTTCCCAGAAGACGGGGCGGCCTCTGGTGCTCCGAGAACCAGAGCAGGGTACTGGGAAACACCCCCCCACCCCCCTCCCCACACTTTCAAATCTCGCTTCTCACACACAGAAACACAGCCAGACTCTCAGAACCCTGTATTAGCTTCTGAAAACAAAAAACAAAAACCAAAAAAGCAAAGGGCGCGTGGGGGGAGGGGGGGGCGGAGCACGGGCAGGCACTCTGCTTTGCAAAACGGCATTTGATTCCGGGGTGTTGCTCTAGGCTCCTGTCTGGTTCTAGGGGAGGTCATAGTGAAAGGAGAGTTAAAAGAGACATCCAGTGGTTCACTGTGCCCAGAGCCTGCTGGTGTGGACGGTGTAAATTGTCTGCTGGTCCACCCTGACCCCTGGAAACCCTGCTTCCAAGAGTGTACACCCTGGAGGCAGGTCGCCCGCCTTTCACCCGAGGCACCTCCAGGTGCCACCCTCTCGGACAGGTGTCACACACGTAATCATGACACGCCTGTGCCCACGGGGTTCATACAAAATGCACTGGACAGGACCCTCAACCCGTTACATGGGGCCTGGTCTCGCACGGCAGTCTTGTCTGTTTGCATGCTTCTGACATCCAGGATCCCCCAAACTGCCAACACCACGGCTGCCGCTGGGCACCGACCACCACGCAGAGCCCAATAGGCAGAGGCGGCCTGGCCACACGTACCCACCCCGCACAAGAAAAGGTGCCCTGGCCGGCGTGGCCAGACCGAAGCTGGTTTTTATTGAGCATTGTTTGCACACAGAAGCAGAGATACAGATCGTTCCTGCGGGCGTGGTGCCCAGACAGTCACCGGCGCTGGGGGCAGGGGGCAGAAGGAACCCCTAGCGGCCGTAAGCGTAGGGTGGGGATGCGGCGCAGCAGTGGCGGCAGGGAGCTTAACTTACAGAGGTGAAGTCTGCAAGCCCCAAGGAGGAGTCTTTGGAAGGCTTAGCCGCAGAGGAGGGAGCAAAGGGGTCTTTTCCACTAAATGGGTCCCCAAACCCCTTTTTACTTTGGAACGGGTCACTGCTGTCAGCCCCGAGTGCCTGGAAGGGGTCAGGGGGTTCAGGAAGGTCGGCCGGGCCGAGCTGGCTTACAGGTGTACTGTGACCTGGAAGGTTGAGGAGAAAGAGAGGGGAAAGAGAGAAAGAGAGAGACAGTTACTCACCGCAGACCAGGCAGGGCCGAGCCACATCATGCTGGGCTCACGGCATGCGGCTCCCTCTCTGGGAAGAGCTGGAGGACACCCTGGGCTGCCACAGGGTCCACACACCCTCATTCTGCCACGGGGGCCACACAGAAAAGCATCCCTTCCCCAGGCCCAGGGCGAAACCTCGGAGGTGCCTGTAACAGGCCACATGCTTGCGAGCGGCATTTTAGGGTGCGTGGCGTTCACCATCACACAGGGTCGCAGATCGCCCCTCGGCTCCTGAAGTGGACAAGGGGGCTGCGTTCCAGGCAGGCGAGAAGGGCCAGGTCAGAGTGAGGCTCCTAGCAGACGCGACTGAAGAGGGGCCAGTCTTCGGTGGCCCCTGCCTCCCATACCTCTGAGGAGCAGCGTGCTTCAGAACAGTGCCCTTTACACACTTGCTCCCCACACACACCTCGTTTTAGGGGGCACTCTGGCCCAGAAGCCTCCCAAGTCTGGAGCCACCGCACAGCGCATCGCACTGCCCAGCCTGCACTGCACTCTGATGCACAGCCTCAGGGCCCAACGTGAAGGGCTCTGGCCACACCTGCTCCCCACTGGGCATCCTGCCCACACCACGCAGCGCCTGGCCACTGTGCCCTCACACTCTCTAAGCACCTGCTGCCCACCTCATGAAGGGGCCCACCACCCCCTCGGAGTGATTTCAGCTTGGGGCACACTGGCCCTGCACAACCATTTGGCCCGAGCCAGTGTCCACAGGGCCTTATAATCAGGTCCTGGGGGGGACATGACTCTAGGAAGAGGGGGCGTGGCCACTCCTGTTGGCAAGGAGTGGCATTCAGTCTGAGGTGGTGCAGATAGTTAAGCATTCGGCCGAGAACCCATAGATTGGCATTTCCAGCCGGCCCAGGAGGCTATGCACGCAGAGATCTGCTGAGGAGTTGGGCTCCCTCTGGGCCACGGCTCTCACTTGGCGACCAGAATGAAGAGGCTGGGCCACGTCACAGTCTGGTGGAGGCCAAGAGTTGCCTGACTTGCACAGGAGAGCCAGGCCATGTCTGCGGGCAGTGCTTGGAGGGTGGAGGGCAGCTGTGTGCATCTGGACAAACCCACGTGGAGGGAGAGCATATGTGCTCTCTGGTTGGCTGGAGGCAGCCAGGCCTTTCTTACTCGGTCCTCGGATGGGTTTCAGTTAGCAGCCAGGTGTGAAGTGTGTGCCACCCAGGGAAGCCCAGGGCGTGGCTGCTCCAGCCCCCACCTCCTGCTGCATAGGAGGAGGGCCCCGTTGTGGCACTCACAGGAGGACACTCCTGGGGGTCCTCAAAAGGTGATCGGCAGGCCCCTCTCCTAAAGTGCCTCTGGGTGGGCTTGAACTGCCAGCCTTCCGTTGAGTTGAGGGACACCCCCCATCCCAACCCCGCAAGTAAGGGAGCCTACTTTCCCAGTCTGGGGGGCAGGGACCTCTGTGCTTGAGGAGGTGAGCAGGCCCTTCATGAGCGGGCCCTTCACGGCAGTCCCTGCTTCGCTGTTTGCCAAAACTGCTGTTGTTCAGAAATCATGACTGTGTTCCTACGAAACCGGGCAAGGCAACGCCTGGTGCCTGGTTTTCGGAGAAAAAAAAGCAAAACTGAACAACGGTCTCTCTCGGTAGCCTGTTTTGCGAGTGCCGGTGCGGGTGGGCTTGGCACGTGCGCTGCTCGGGGCTGTGCGCCACACTCTGAGAGAAGGTGCAGACGGGCGCTGGGGTGCTGCCGAGGTTCCCGCTGCAGCGGGTTGTGGGTCCCCATCTTGCGCTTTATTTTTAGAGGCTGTGCTTTTAAAACACCCTCGGTCTAGTTCCTGCTTTTATGTAACCACTTCTGCTAACGCCTGAATCGCTTTGCCGATTTTCTGAGGGTAACTAATCTGCAAGGTCGCAGAGGGACTCTGCCCGCCTCAGAGGCCCGCCCACCGGGCAGGTCCCTTCTGAGCCATGGAGACCCCATGGGCGCAGGCCAGCTTCCCAGGCTGGCTGACACCAGGCCTCTGCGCAGGTCTGAACTGCTCCTCTTCCAGCTCACGGCCATGCGCCCGAAGGTGTCTGTCACTCAGCGCCACCCTGATGTATCTGCCACCCCGGCACCAGGAGGAGGGAGAGGATTTTAGGAAGGCTTGTTTCAGAGAATGGAACAAAGTGACCTTAGAGATAAACGAACAAAAAACTCTAGCTAAAGAAACCAAGATGCTGCCTGGCTTGGAGCTCAGCAGCCTCATTCCTAGATCTATGTCCGGGGTGGGCCCCCCCGCCCGGATACCCCCGGGGTGCAGAGGGACAGTGGGAGGAGCCCCCTCTGCCAGTATGTGCCTGCAGGTCAATGGTAGTGACCTGAACCCCCAAACCCATCTCAGAGGGCACGGGAAGAGGGGTTCGTTGGCAGGGGGACAGCAATTCAAGAAAGAAGAAAAGGTTTTAAATGGGTCTTATTTTGTAACCACAGCAGTTTCGACAGTTACCCAAGCGGTGCACCGAAACCACACCCAGGACGGTCTTCAGCAAAAACAATATGAGCCCAGGGGCTCACCACAGCGCCTGCTGCGAGGAGGGAGAGCTCGGCGGCCCCACCCTGGGGCCTGCCTTGAATTCCCTGGCCGACTGCTGCACACTGCAGGCCCCTGGCGCCCAGGCCTGGGGCCCTGGCTGCCACTTTGCTGGACAGCACACCAGAAATCCCGCCTCTCCCGGTACACTTTTCAGGAAACTGCCCCACCTGGAAGTCACCGGGTGGTGGCAGCCACGCGGCCACAGGAAAACAATGGAGTGAAATACGCCCCCGTGTCCACAAATGTTCAGCCCGAACGAGCCCTCGGGGAGTAAGCAGAGTGCTGCTCTCGCTTTTCAAGCTTTACCTCGATGGGGAGAAGGCGGTGCCCACAAATCAATCAACAAACATATCCAACTGCACAGGGGCCCAGTGGGGTGTGCCTCCTGTGTGTGCGTGTGTCTGTCTCTGTTGTGTGCGCATATGGGTGTTTACATGCATGTCCTTGCTGCATGCATGTTAATGTGTGTACACTGTCATCCCACACAGACTCCTGCTCTACCTGGAAAACTCTGTTCTGTCCAGGACAGCAAAAACACAGAAACCAAAAGTCTAAAATATGGAAGACAAAGGGCATGTTCCCTTGTGGTGGGCCAGCTGCCCCGCCTCAGCCACCTGCCCACACAGCCAGGACGTTCCCACAGGGTCAGGCTGCCAAGAGTCACAAGGAGCTCTGGGGTGGGGGCCTGGGCCCTCTGCACAGCCGGACAGCTGAGCTGGGAGAGAGGAGCCAAGAGCGATGTCTGCACAGTCCCCAGTCCCCTGGGGACCCTTGACCCCACGCTGAGCCTGGCCCCAGGGTCCCTGTAGGAGGGTGAGGCGATGTGAGGAGCCAGTGATCAGAGTGGAGCCAGGCGGCTCGGCCTGCAGATAACATCTGAGGTTCCCGCGATTGTGGTGTTGAGATTTTCCACTGAAAATATTTACTGCATTTTCAGAAAACGGCCTGATGCCTGAAAGGGAACAGGATGGGGTTGGGCTCGAGCGGCGGAGAAAAGCTGAACAAATATTTATGATCAGCACCAACAGCCCAGCGCCCCACAGCAAGGGTGTGGTCAGGGCCTCTGAGGGTCG